GCGGCCTCGCGGCCGGCAGGGGGCGCTCCGGAGAGGACAAGGCCCCTGCACTGCCCCGGGGCGCCGCGGGCCCGAGACCCCGCCCGACCGCCGCGGCTCCCCGCCCCCGAGCGCTCGGGCTGTACCGCGGGGGGAGTCGCTGCTCGAACTCGAGCAGCCACCTGCCCCAGGACCCAGGTTGTCGCGATCTCCAAGCCGCCTCTGTGAGGAAATTTCCCGCCTCCCTCGGCCTTACTTCCGGCCTTCGCGGCCCCCGCACCGCCCCACCCCCGGCCCTTTGTCTCGCCGCTGCCCACGCTCCCGCGAGTGTCGGGGACCAGCGGTGGTGGCGCCTTCCAGTCTTCCTCTGCTGGCCTGCCAACAGGGTGTCCGTCCGCGCTTCCGTCCAAGTTCCCTTCCTGGATTCCTTGGAACGAATCATCTCACCTCTTAGTCTGTAAATGGGACGAACATTGATCAGCTCACAGAGGTCTTGGAAGGAAGAAGGCGCCTAAAGTAGATGTCTAGGGGTTTACTGTTGGGCGAACTGAGGAAGGCTTAAGGGCTCACTGCCTCTCCCACCCCATTTCCTGGCATAGAAATGGGACCCTCCTCCTTCGACTTCTCAGATGAGAATGCAACTCTGTAATTGTCTTGGAAGTGATAAAGCCTCCTTGCGCCTGAACTGTGAAGCCTCCTACTAAAAATAGTAACAAACGTTAGTGAAACTCTTGGGCACAGACACAGAGCTAAAGTTTGGTTTATATATTTCAGTACCTTCAATATCTAATCATTCAGGAGCAAGTTAATGTATTGTAGTCACATTTTCAAATACAGATGAATTATTTGTTTGTAGTCACACAGCTAGTTAGTAGTTGTGGGATTAAGAGGCCTCAGATGAACTTACGACTCAAAAGTACAAAGTCTTGCCAGCTGGGGGAGGGGCTTCTGGCTCTGGGGATGCTCCCATGCTAAACCCTGTTGCCATTCAGAATTATGCATACCTGAAGCTTTTGAAATGGGATCACTTCCAGAGACCTTTCCCTGAGGTAGGTGCTGCTAGGTAGTCTAATCCTGCGTACTTTATCTCATACTCCCAGCTTTTTAAAAAAGAATCATGTTATTCTGATAGAATTAACATACCAAAAGGTCCTTTTTTTTTTTTGGTCTTTTTAAAACAGGGTCTCCCTGTACCCACCCCCACCTGGCCTGGAACTCACTATGTAGACCAGGCTGGCCTTGAACTCACAGAGATCCACCTGCCTCTGACTCCCAAGTGCTGGGACTACAGGTGTGCGCCACCACGCCCGGCTTACTTCCTGCAGTTTTACACTTAACTCTGTCTTAGGGTTAGGGTTAACCCTTGTCTGATGACTCATTTGATCACCTTATCTTAATTAAACTAGATAGCAAGTGAAGATTTAAAATCCATGGGAAATTCGAGGTGTAGGGACACACACCTGTAATCATAGGCTGAAGCAGGTGGACATCCCGAGTTCTAGGCCGCCCAGAGCTACATAGCAAGACTGTGCCTATCAAAACCCACAAAACAATAAAATAAAATCTACGGGACAGGCATGGAAAGGAGAAAACTCAGACTGCAGACCGGTTCCAGGACCATGGACAGCACACAACAAACCTGCTCTCTAATATTATTGGTGCTGAAAATGGCTCATTGATTGCCCAAGAGGGCACTTGGCTTCAGTTTACAAACCCTGTTAATAGTCATCACTTCATCCCCCACGCACCTCCCTCTTTAAGGTGAGCATCATTGGCTCCGTTGTACAGATTAAGTAACTGAGGTTTAGGGAGGCTCTTGAGACATCAAAAGTGGCATTGTTCCTCCCTGGGGCAGAATGAGACTGAAGCAGAACCAATCCACACTGGGAAGTCTGTGGCCATGGTTCAGGGAGGGGTGATAATAACTGAAGACTGACAGCCTTTTCTGGGGTGAAGAGGAGACATTTTAGGGGAGGGACTCAATTGGCCTTGGTCATGAGGTGGATGTAGATGCTGAAGGAGAGAAGATTCTGAGGCTCCTTTCTAAGTTTCCACCTTGAGGATGGAGGACATGCCCTGAATGAGCATTGGGGAAAGGAGGAGCTTATGGGATGGTCACCCTGAGATATAAGTCCAGAGTTGAGTTCTGAAGTAGCCATAGCTAGAGGCAGACTAGAAAGTCCATCAACTTGAGAGCTGATGATGGAGGTCAAGGAGGAAGTCAGCATATGGAGGAAGAGTACTGACCAAACAGGGAGGCATAAGGGCCTTCAGTCCACCCAAGGAACACCAGATTGCTGCACAAATGAGAGGAAAGAAAGGAGAGTGAGCAAGTAGACATCTTTTCCAAGAAGTTTGGCCCCTGAGAAAGGAAAGAAGTGTGATGGCACAGGCCTGTAATCCTAGACCTTCAGAGGTGAAGGCAGGCAGATCAGGAATTCAAGGATAACCAGGGATACTCAAGACCCTGTTATAAAGATAGAGAGAAAGAGGAAGAGGAGGAGGAACAGCAGCAGCAGGAGGAGGAGGAAGAGGAGGAGGAGGAAATATGACAGCTTCTACTGAAAGATATGATATTGAGATGAGAGGGGCCCAGGGCAGAGGGAAGGGAAAGGGGAAGATGCCAGTGAGGGAGAGCAGGGGCCTGGAGGGAGAGGTAGGATCCAGATCCTTGGGATGCCTCAGAGAGCCTGAGATGAAGATGAAAGACTTGTGGCTTATTTGTGAAGTGCAAGGACACCAGCAGGGGAGTGAAAACATGACCCAGGAAGGAAACGAGGCCAATGAGAAGTTATTAAGCTGGTTGCCACTGTGTGTGAATGAACCTTAATTCTGTAGGGAAAATGTCTTGGAAAATGGAATATGTGCACTTCAGAAATTCTCTGGCCAAAGGTAAGGGATCTGAGATATACATGTCTCAGCATCTGGCAGATGTTGCTTAAAGGCTGTCTTTGGGTTGTTCATGTGACTATGTGTTGCTTCTTAGGCATTCCAGGAAAAATAGTTCCAGCAGTCTGAGCATTTCTCTTTGACAAAGACAGGGTAGACTGTTGAGAGTCCTGGTGGGCACAAAAACGGTCAGACATTGAAGTGGTTGGGTCAGACCTCTGTACCATCTGTGAGGGTACAGTTAGGACCTCTTTCCATCTGTGTCCTCTTCTGTGCCCTCTGACCACTTTTGTTCCAAAGGGACTTGTTAATAAAAACATTTCTAGACACTTGCTAAGGCAGATAAAGAGCTGAAAACAGGCAGGAAAGCAGCCCATATGCGCTCAGTGTTGGCTTCATCAGTTGCTAGCTGTGTGGCCTTGACTGAGGTCTCTGAGCCTCACTTCACCATATGTAACTTTAGGCTTCCAGAGGTCTTCAAGTGCCTGGCATAGTATAGCCCTTGTGGAGGACACCACTATTATGGCAAGTCCAGCACTGCATCCTTTTTCATGTGAAAAGGATGCAGTTTTTCTTAGAGGACTACCTCTGTACTCATCTATGGAATAGATAGTGACCTAGGTCTAGGCAAACCCTGTCCAGTAATTCATTCTGGGAATAGGGTGGAGCAGGGAATCAAACCCAAGGCAAATGTAACCTCTCATACTTTCTTGGAGCTTTAGGGGGTGCTAGGTTGGTAATGTGGTTACCTGAGGTTGCCAAGAGGGTTATCTATGTCCCTATATAGACAGAGTCTGCCTAGACATAGGACACCGGCTCACCCTGTAACAACCCACATGGTCGCCCACACCCATGTATGTATGTGCTCCTATCTCTGGTTGGACTGCCTCTGGGGAGCCATACACATCCGTATGCACCAGAAGATAAACAAGTGCCTGCAGCTCCTTGGCGGGTGCCCAGGCTGGGGGTGGAATAAACAATCCTAGCGACTTTCTGAAAAGCGAGCATGTGTGGCAACAGGCACCATGGAGACAAGCAGACTGTATCAGAGCAGAGACAGCAGGCAGCCCCCAGTGCCACCCTGTGAGTGCCTGTACGAACGTGCTCTGCAGCACATGCAGTGTGTATTTCGAGTTCTCTCTTCTTCTCTCTCCTCTGTCTCTCTGTCTCTCTCTGTCTCTGTCTCTGTCTCTCTCTCTCTTCCATGTCATGTTTATGTCTAGTTCATCAAACACAATCCTAGTTCATACCCAGCACACACCCTCAGGGACTAACTAGATAACCCTATTCCAGCTTTGCTTGAAGATAAAGGCTTTGGAAAAGGTTTGAGATGGCCGATTAAATAAAATCCATAGTTCCTGTCCCCTTTGCCTGTACACTGGTTCTGGTCTAGGCTGAGTTTCACCAAATCGCAACCCCTGAGGATTTTATGTATTGTGTGTGTTTGTGTGTGTGCTCATGTGTGTATTAGGGTTATGGTGGGCCGGAGCCCACAGACTCAACTTTCTGTAACATTTTTGCATAAAGCTCATGTGTTTCAGGGAGGCATGCAAAGCTCACATTTACATGCTTGTCAAGAAGCATCCAGACCCCACACTCCTTCAGGCTGTGCAGACACCTCTCCTCCTGCACACATACACACCTAAGGTAATGATGACGGTAGTGTTCCCTAAGTGTTCCAAAATCACTGTCTCATCTTAAGGAAAGCCAACTGAGAGGATAGAATTACTATTCCCACTTAGCAGTAGAGAAAAGTAACTCATTAGGGTCACACAGCTAGAGAGAGACAAAGCTGGGAGTCACTCCAGTCACACTATTGGGCCATATACACGTACCTCCCCCTGAGTCAGTCCAGGTAAATAACGGTCATGATAATCTCCCTGAGCTCCTCATATGTACTGCTCCTTAGCCCTCACTGTGCTGCCCTGAGTATCATGAGAGGCCCTGGCTTGAGCACAACCAGCTGGGCATAGTGGCACAGGTCTAAAATCTCAGTTACTCAGGAGGCAGAAGGATCGAAAACTTGAAGCCAGCCTGGGCAATTTAGGAAGACCCTGGCTGTCTTGAAGTAGAAATAAAAGTGGGCTGTAGTTGTAACTCAACAGTAAGGCACTTGCCTGGCATATATAAGGCTCTGAGTTCAATTCTTAGTAGTGCAAATAAATCAAATAATAAATAAATAAATAAATCCCAATTTGATTCCTACACAGACCCCTTCCCTTCCCTTCTGCAACTCCCCACCCTAGCAGCTGCAGGCTGGGATGGCCCAGGATTTGGATGAGTGGCTCAGTCTGAATCATGGCCCAGCTGCTCCTTGGCAGCCCCTCCCCCTTCTGTCCAGAAAGCCTATTTGGAAGGTAGGGGTGGGCCTTGGGTGGGGATGTAGGGGGAAGGGAGCAGGTGGGGGGACAGTAGGGGACAGAAACAGATGCAGATGAACAGCCTCTCAGAAATTACTCCCCCCATGCTCCTCATTCTGCCAGAAATGAAGGAGCTTTTTCCTGGAAATGGGCCAGGAGCTCCCTGGCTAGTCCCAGAACTCATTTTGACTCTCCTTCCTCACCTCTTGCCCTAATAAAATGACAATGGTAACAATGTTAACTATTCTAATTGATCACTCTCAGTTGACTGCACTCATTCTGTTGTCTACAAAGCACCTTTTCATCAGAGGGTAGAAATGAACATCCTCACTTTGGAGCTCAGGAAACCAAGGCTCTGAGAGGTTGTATTAGCTGATCAACATCTCACAGCTGGTGAAATGACAGACCCAGAGCAAAAGCTCCTGCCTCCTTGGTCCAATCTGTGGAATGTAAACACTGGAGCTGTGGTTGAGCAAGGTGAGGACTGGATGGGAATATGGTGGCCATATCGGTGAAGTGTGGTTCTGGGGAAAGTATGAAGGGAGCATTGGGGCGCATGGTGGGGCATCAAAGGGGCACAGTGGTATGGCATAGTTTGGGCAGGGTCAAGGCAGTAAGAGGCATGACAGAGGTATGACTGGTGACTTTGGTATGTGGCAAGATTGTTTAAACATGTTTCTTTACTACCCTGAGGTTAAAGGACTAAGGAATTATTTGTGCCTTCAAATCTTTCACTGTTTCACATTAATATCCCAAGACTAACAAATTCAGAGCATGGAGTTTCTTTGGAGAATGCTTTGGTTTTGGAAATTTTGCTTCCTGAAGCCTCAGTTTTCTCATTTGAAAAAAATGGGTCCAGGCCTCTGGCAAGGTAAACTATTAAGAGGCTGGAATGAAATCATCACCGTGCCCTTTAGAAGCTGTGAAGGACTTCACAAAGGCCTGCTATTTCACATGTTGTTTTGCCATTTAACAGATATCTGTGGGTGCTGGGTAGAGGGCAGAGTAGGTTTCTGGAAGACTGGGGGTGGTGCTGAGAGGGGAGTGGGTGACATCTCTTCCTTTCCCCCTGCCTGGGCTCTGTCTGGCCTTCCCCCACCTTCAGCCCAGAGCCTGTTTCTAGGCAACGGGATGGATGCAGAGATGGATCGGAGGGGGAGAGAGCTATAAATAGGGAAGGGAGAAAACAAAAATAAAGTTCCAGAGAAATCCCCAAAGCCACATTACGGGGACTGGGGGTGGGGAGACAGACAAGTGGTACGGACATGGGGACAGCCCCTAACCCTTCATTAAGGGGGACAAGGCAGTTTTCTAGCTAGCTGCCCAGCAGGAGTCTCCAGAGTGCTTGTGTGGGTGAACATGGTGAGGCTGTGAGAAGAAATGGCTTCAGAGGAATAGGAAATCTCAAAAGAAAAAGAGCTTCAACAAGCAGAGTTGAGGCCAGCTGTTCAGGAGGTAGGAATACCAGCAAAGGAAAGAAAGCAAGAACCAGGTGGGTGGGCTGATGCCCCAGGGGTTCTTGGGAGGTTTGGCAGGCAGGTCTCCCCTTCCCTGCTTACACTCACTGAGGCAGCCAGTCCCCTACTGACAGCATTCACCCTCTCCAGATGGCTTCATGGCACGCTTATTTAGGTTGCAGCTCCACCTCACCTCAGACACCTGACCTGGCCACCACCTTATTTTTATTTTACTTTTAATTTTATACTCTTTAAATTTTTAAAACATTTATTTATTTTGGTGGTGGGAACGCATTCAAGTGGAGGTCAGAGGACAACTTGCCAGACTTGGTTCTCTCCTTTTGCCATGTGAGGTCCAGGGATCAAACTCAGATCATCAGATTTTGTACCAAGCACCTTTACCTGCTGAGTTGGACACCTAGGAGTGCTGGGATTATATATATATATTTTTTTTTTCCTTAAAAGACAAGGTCTCACTATGTTGCCCTGGCTGACCTGGAACTAGCTATGTTGACCAGGCTGGCCTTGAACTCACAGAAATATACTTGCATCCCCCTCCTGAGTGCTAGGTTTAAAGGCTTGTGCCACCATGCCTGTCCCTAGTACTTCCTTTTATGTACTTCTTAAAACTTGAAATTATCTTGATCTTTTATTTCTTTCTTTTTGAGAGAGTCAGGGTCTTGCTGCATAGCCCAGGTTAGTCTCAAATTCATGATCCTCCTGCTTGAGCACCGCACCTAGCTTTTTGATTGTGACACTGGGGGATGAGCTGTCAGAACATTGACTTGTAGGACTATTCCCTGAAATTTCTCACTTATAAGACCAGAGGGGGTGTGCAGTGCACCTTGTTGGATAACTAAATGAATACACATGACACGTACAGACAGCATCCATGAGCACAGATACTAGCACAGCACATATGTATGTCCACTCAGATGTAAGAGTGCACACACAGTTCAACCTAACATGCACACCATGTCATTCCTGGTCTTCATGACATTGCACAAATATCTGTAATTTATACATTTCTTTCTCTCCACAGCTGCAGGTGGTCACTATTTTTCATTTGTTTGTCTCTCTTTGAAGCCAGGGAAAACTGGATTTGAGAATTCAAAGTGGCCATTGCCATGTCCCAGCAATCAGCACAGGGCAGGTAGTGTGCCTCTCTGACCTCCATTTCCTCCTCTGTAGGTTGGTGCTGTAGCAATGAAGTCTTAGGATTGGTTTCAAGTAAAATTAGTGAAGGTAAGTACCACATGCCTGGGATACACTGGGCACTTGGAAAATGGCTCTGTCTGCATGAGCTGTGTCCCCCCCCCACACACACATAGTCATCTGACACAGGGCTGGCGTCTTCTGCTGACGTTTCTGGACTTGTGCCTGGTATGCATTTAAAGTGACCGTGACAGATGAGAACATTGGTTTCTGAGCAGCACCACTCTCAGTGGGGCCAGGTGTAAGACTTGGCACTTGGAAAAGAGGAATAAATCTCTTTACAGGCCAGATGGTGAAGCTGTTTGGGCATCTAAAAATGGGAATTGGGGGCTGGAGATTAACAGGTAATTGGTAGAGTAGATAAAAAAATAAATAGATAAAAAAAAAGATTCAGGTGTTACTTGCCAGATAATAGATCACAAACTCCCCCTTTCTCAGCTATGTAGCCTAGACTTAGGCTGCTTTTGAACTTAGTGGTCCTCTTGCCTCTGCCTGCTTTATAGCTGGGATGCAGGTGTGTGCTACCATGCTCAAACTCTTCTTTAGAGACTAATCGGTTCATGAAAAATATTGAAGTCAATGGGTGTAATAAAATAAGGATAGAGCCAGGTGTGGTGGCATGCCTTTAATCCCAGCACTTGGGAGGTAGAGGCAGGCAGATCGTGTCAGATCAGGCCAGCTTGTCTAAAACAAACAAACAAAAAAACCAACCAAATAAACAAACGGATAGGGACGGTGGCCAACTGGAAAAAATGTATACAAGCCAAAGGTATTCAAATTTAGAAAATTTCAAACCTTATGCTAGTAAATTAAACCTAGAAGCCAAAATTCAACCCGAGGGCCATATTTTTGTAATCTTTAGAGGATTTTGGTTTGTGAGGCGGGTCTTAATTGAGCCAATAGGGATTTCCAGCTCCTAGGGCCCTCACTCATCCAAGCGCACCAGTTTGTTCTACACCCTCTCATTTGTCAGCTGCTTCCTGCTTCCAGACAGAAAGGCCGCTAAGTTGGCAAAGGCGACCAGAACACACTTCCGCAGGGTTAAAGGTTTGCCGTCTCCTCCCTGTCTAACGACTCAAAAAAGACAGTAGTAAGTACACAGGTTGATTGAATAGACCAAGCCGCTTCCAGATACTCAACTGGAAGTTAAGGCGAGGTGGCGGGAGGGGGACAGGGAGTGTTTTTCTCCTGCAAACTAAAGCTTAGCTACCTGCATGAGTGGGGCCAAGGGCTTTGTGGACAGGGCGGGATCTCTACACAAAAAGAGGACGCAGTACAGATGGGGGCGGGGCCTCAGAGCTCGGCGTCAAAAAGGCAGCGTTTTCCTCACTACAGGGAGAAGCCTCTACTCTGTGCGGGTGGTTTTGCTATCCGCACCTTACTCTGAGGCTTCGGGGTGCCCCCTAGTGTTGATCCTGATTTGCTCCAGGACGAGGCTGGATGACTTCCCAGTTTTCTGCAGACCCTCGCCCACTTCAGCTGAGATTTCAAACTGTCAGTCGTCCTTCTAGGAGACAGCAGTACCGCACGCCGGCGATCTGCCCGCTCCGATAACTGCCCTCCTCCTATAGCTTTTGTTTGTTTTGCTTTAGCGTTGGGCGGGAGTGCTCAGAGGTGAGCATGCTCAATCTGAAGTGGGAGGGGTCCCCCAGTGCCTAAGAGCGTCTTCTGCGCCTGCGCGGCTGGTGTCTGAAGGCTCCGCCGCGCTCCAGCAGCAGCTCCACTGCGCTCAAATCTGCACGTGCGCACTGGCCGCGGAGTTTACACTCCAAATCTGTCCGCGTGTGCGTGCATGTTCACGCCCTGTGCGGTACCGGCTTCCCGTGGCCCTACACGCCCTTTACTGCCAGGAGGTGGCGCCCGAAGCTAACTTCCCGCCTGCCAGTCAACTTCGGGTCCCAGCTTGGGGAGTCGGGGGGGACATTCCCCCTCCGTGTCGTGTGCGGGAGTAGAGGAGGAGATGGAGAAGCTGGGGTCCCAGGTAGTCGAGTGTTGTACCTGGGCTGAGTGTGCCAGAGCCCAAAGAGCGGAATGGCAGGCTGGGGCCAGGAAGCCCAGCCCTGGCCATGCGGCGCCGGCTACAGACAGGTTGGCTTTATTCATGGACACACGGGGGGCGGCCGGGCCCGCCCACCCAGGACACGCTCACACGAGGGGTGGGGGACTCTCCATGCCACAATCACAACACAGGACGCCCGCGCTTGGACTGGGCGGGCTAAGGGAGGGGGCATGGCACGACCTGGCTCCTGGTTTAGGTTAAAAAAATGTTTTGGGGAGTCGAAGTGGGGCTTCCCGGGGGCCCCTCGGAGAGCCTTTGTTGGGGTGGGAGAGGAGCCATCGCTTTCCCATCTTCGTTTAAAAATACATAGAACATGCTACATCCTCGTAGACGCTGAACGGGACGGAAGGTGAGAGGCTACACTGGTGGGGCGGGGCTCCCAGCCAAGGCTTCAGCTAGGCTTCAGTCCTCGCCCCAGGGCTGGACACGCCCCAGGGCAGGTAGGACGACGGAAGGGCAGACACTAACACTGACTCCGGGGAAGTGCCTCGGAGCCGAAGGAAGATCTCGTGTTTTGGGGGGACAGGCTAGTAGGGCAGCCCTGGCTCTGGGGGTGAGGGGCGGGGCAGGGACAAGTTAGGGATTGTGCTGCTGGTGGGGGGCCCTCCTGGGCCCTTACGCCTCTGGTTCGTATTCCTGATATTCCTCCTGTGTCAGAGGGAGCGGGTGGAGTAGAGAAGAGCAAAAAGGAGAGGTTGGAGACCGAATGGCCATGTACTGGCGTTAAGATTCCAACCCCTCAAGGAAGAACAACGCATGCCCCAGCATGCCCCAACGCCCGGGAGAGGCCTGGAGTTGGGGCCAGCAGAGATATTCCTAGGCAGCAGTGCCAGGCGGACACAGCGCTAGGCACCATCAGCCATCTGCCCTCTCCTCCTTGCTCCACCTCCAGGAGCCTGAGTGACAGAAGTGGGGGCATGGGTGTTTGAAGCCCCCTAGCCTAACTTTATGCTAGAACTTCCCACCCCAGCTAGGGATGCAAGCAGTCTTCTTGGATGTCCTGTCCCGAGTGTCGTGTGCCTCCCCCTCTTCCCTCCCGAGCTCTGCTGCTCCCTCACCTGGGGTGATTCCTCATAACTCTCCCCTTCAGGCTCCATTAGGGGTTCAATCAGCGGCTCCTCAGCAGCTTCTTGGGCCACTTCCTCTGGCTGCGGGCAGAGAAGAGCAAGGCAGGTGGTGAGAGCAACTGGACATCCCTACAATCCCATGTTGGTATGCATCTGGTTGCTTGGAAGAGATGGACTAGGGTGTTTTGGCAATGCAAAGAATGTTTAATTAAGCTGTCTATTTGGAGCACTTTAGAAGTGAGGTTAAGGATGACTTCAGTTCCAATCTGCAGGAAGCTTGGAGTGTGGAGATGGTGCTGGCTGCTCTGTGCTGCTCAGCCCAACACTGGAGCCTCCTGTACCTCTATCACCCAGACTGGATAGATGGGGAGATAGCACACAAGACTCCCGTTTAGGTCATACTCTGATGGACCAACTATAGGACCCAGGAGAGAACTCTGGAGGCTCTTCTCTAGGGTGGAAGGGAACTGGAGACTCAGGTAGAGGGCTGGAGAGGGGCTCTGTACCATTCCCTGCTGCCTTCCACCCAGCCTTCCCTCAGGACTCAGCTTGGCCTGATTTCTTCACTGTAGCTATTTTAAGATAAGTTGGAAGCAACAGCTCATAGGGTGTTGCTTGGATGTGTGAGCTAAGACTCTACCCTCCCCCCCTGCATCTGCTGCCCAGATGGGCACAGACCAGTGAGCATGCATGTGGGGGGCTGCCAGACACATGGCTAGCCACCTGCAAGTGAACACATATATGTACAACACACAGTAACCTGGAGTGCATACATGGCTGTACAGACCACATGTGCCAGACCACATGTGGGCTGGCACATGCCTGGGACCCTGGACCTGTGACACTGAGAAATTGGCATTTAGTTGCCTCATCACTGTAGCTTCAGCTCCTCAGCATACTTGTCTTCATGGGCTCCTGTGGACATAGGCATTTACAGCTTCTGACCTAGCTCATATCAGAAATGTTTGTTCCAAGTTATACAACTATCACCAGAACCCAGGGAAGATACTGTTAAAAGTCTCAGCTTGAGGGCTGGAGGGATGGCTCAGCACTGACTGCTCTTGCAGAGGACCCAAGTTCGAGTCCCAGTACCCCACATGGTGGCTAACAGCTGTTCATAACTCCATTTCCAAGGGATCCAATACCTTCTGATGATACAGGTGCACTTACATACATGCAGGCCATACACATAAAATAAATATAGTATTTTTTAAAAGTCTCAGCTTGAGGCCTGGGTGTAGCTCAGTGGTAGAGCATGTGCCTAGGATGCCCACAAATAATCCTAGCTTGAGCCTTTTGTTTGGAAACCGTGCCCCAGATGGCTGTGAACATGTAGTCTGACCACAGTGGAGCACGGCTCAGTGGGGATGGTGACAGCACAAACAGGAGCAGGCCTAGAAGGAACGGCTGCATACAGAAGGGCATGTACTTTTCAAGATGGCATTTGCATGAGACTAAAAAGTACCCAACTAATTTGCAGTGCTGGAAGCTAGGAAGTGGTCCCCTTGGAAGTGGGTAGGCAGGGCCTGGACTGAAGGGAGCTATGTGAGTGCATAAGATGCAAATGTTTGGGAACCATGTATGCTGTGTTCCATTGTCTCCCAGTAGGCCTGCCTTAGGGATAGGGACTTTGAAGGTGGCACAGTGCAGGGATTCCAGAGACAGGTGTTTTGTGCCTTGAACTGACTGCTGGCTTTATGGGTGAGGTTCCTTTCTGAAATTTTTTACTTTTTAGGGGGGGAAGAATTAGGTCAGGATTTTTTTTTTTTTAATCCTTTTGAGACAGGGTTTCCCTGTAGCCCCAGCTGGCCTAGAACTCATTATTTAGACCAGGCTGGCCTTGAACTCACAGAGATCTACTCTGCCTCTGCCTCCCGAGTGCTGGGATTAAAGGCGTGTGCCACCATGGCTTTTATTGAGGGTATCTTGGGCAAGAGGGGGAGCCATGAAGACAGAGTAGATGGTAGGCCTCAGGGGCATGTTGGAGGTACAATTAGATTTGCATGATGGGCTAGCACTGGACAAGAAGAATCACAGATGCCTTCAAATTTGGGGCCACGTCTTGGGTGGTCATTGGTGCCATTTGCTGGTTGAAGAAGACTAGAAAAGGAACAGGGGCCAGGGGGTAGGTAGCAAGAATTTTTGTGGAACCTGTTCCAGTTTAGGGTTCTTTTTTGGTCTTTTTTGAGACAAGGTCTCCTTGTAGCTGCAGCTGGCCTGGATTCCCTAATGGAGACCAGGCTGGCCTCAAACTCACAGAAATCTGCCTGCTTCTGCCTCCTGAGTGCTGGGATTAAAGGTGTGTACCACCATGCCTGGCTTTAAAAAAAATTATCTTTTTATTTTTATGTGTATGAGTGTACTGCCTGTATGTGTTTATCTTTAAAAAAAAGATTTGTTTTTATTTTATGTGTATGTGTGTTTGCCTACATGTATTTTTGAGTACCACATATGTGCCTGGTGCTCATGGAGGGCAGAAGAGGGCAGTGAATCCCCTGGAATTGGAGTTACAGCTAGATATAGGCCACCATGTAGGTACTGGGAACTGAACCCAGGTCCTCTGCCAGAGCAGTAAGTGTGCTTGACTGCGAAGCCTAAGACAGAGTCTTATATAGCCCAGGTTAGCATCATGTTCACTGCTGGCCTGATCATGTGGCCACAGTCTCTGACTGTGGGCATTCATGATATGCAAGTCAGACCTTCTGAAGTTCTCAAAATGTGGTCTCTGGAACAGCAGCATTAATCTTTTAATTAATCAGCATTAATCTGCCTACTCTCATCTTTTCTCATCTGCCTTGGGACCTTTGCGTTTCCTGTTTCCATCTCACAGACACACCATCTCAGGGCTGTCTCATCCCTTGGGTGTCAGCTCAGATGGCACTTTCTCAGAGAAACCCTTCTAGCTCAAGTGGTCCTCTTCACTCACAGCAGGGTTGTGTCTTCTTCACTGCATGTACCCTGTCTGACAGAATGGTGTACATTGTCTGGGTTTGTGCTGTATTCTCTCACTGCCTCAGCAGCGTTCATGGAGGAAGCCATCCACTGATGAACCTCTAGAACAAGTCTACACTGGTGTAGACATCCAGTCAATGAAAGGAATAAATGAATGAACAAGCAGTGGCATGTTCAGACATGGCCAGAAATGGCCTGGGTTATACGCAGACAGTCCCATCTGGGTTCCTGTCACAGGGAGCACAATATCTATACACACCTTCCCTCAGCTTCATTCTGTGTCTAGCTCAGCCTTGCAGGAACAGGAGGCAAGGAGGTTTGTGCCCCATGCTGATGGGGCTGGGGGTGAAGAGGATGGTGGCAGGTGTGTGTGCCTGATATGTGTGCGCATTTGTGGTGGAGAATCACTTGCCTTCAGGTCTGTGGGGAACTCCTCCTTCTTCACCAGGCCAGTGGCTGCTGCTATGTTCCCAGCCCCAGAGAACACGGCTCCTCCCAGATGTGATGCCTGCTCCTTGGTTTTCTCAGCCACTGGAGCAGGGAGGGATGTAGGGAAGGGTTCAGGGCCAGGGTAAAGGAGACCAGGGGGCCCTTACATATTGTCCTAGGCCCACCCTCCCCAAGGAGAAACCCATACAGAAGCCTCAGGAGTCACCCCTCCATAAAGTACTAGGATTGGTCTGGTACCTGAGGCCACACCTTGTACCACTCCCTCTCTGGTCTTGCTTCCTGCAGGGAGAAAGAGGAGCATATTTAAGGAGTCTAAGCAGAGGGAGCAGAGATTCCAACCCAACACAGGGGTCATGGGGTGAGCAGAGTACCCAGGGGGCATTGGATCCCCTGAACTGTCTCCCTGGGCCTTCATATTCCATGACTTTCACCCTCATGCTAACCACACTCAGCCCCTACTCCTGTTTCCTCAGGTCTTCTAGTACCCCTGATCCAGTGCCCACATCCTTCCTACGGGATGTTGATCGAATGCCAGTGCAAAGCTTCTAGTTTGCCAAAGTTTACATAATCTTGTCCCCAGCTTAGGAGGTGGGGGAAGCTCAATAAGGTCCCTGCAACCAGTAAGTAGCTTTCAAGCCTAGGTCTTTCTGACTTGAAACTTCTGCTACCAATTTCTACATGAATATGTAGCCCAGGTTGGGAGGCAGTGGTGCTTGGAGGTATGGAGCCACGTATTTATCCTTGGCGCCCCTTGTATGACTGCCTCATAGTGTCCCCTGCTCCATTTCTACTAGACTTTCTCCTCCTAACAACGGGCCATTCCCTCCTTCTGACTGAAGTAGAGACTGTTAAATGCAGGGGGGACTAAGAGTCATATGCAGATAGTGGAAGGAACCCACTGCACTGGCTGGACCTTCATCAGAATGGGAAGGGGCACTGGGAGTGGCAAGAAGTCCTGATCTAGGGTGTGTATCCTACAGGGCCTGGGGAAATCGCTCATGTGGAAGATTTAGCAACTCTGATGAAGGCAGACATGGGTGTCTGAGCGAGCTAAAGCCAGTGCAGAGAGGAGGAGGCTATGCTGGAGAGGTGAGGTAAGGCCAGGGTGGGTAGAAGGGTGCCCACCAGCCGAGGCAAGCCAGAACTCAGGTGCAGTGGTGACAGCAGTAGATGGGCTGCATTCCATCCATTCACTCCTCAGCAGATACTTGTTTGCACATGCTCTGTTCAATGCCCTGGGTCTCATCTCAATTAGTAGGGAAAGGGTATTCAGTCTCTAGGGACTGCATGAGGTGGGGGACATTACCTGGGCCTTGAGAAATGGGGAGCAAGTGGGTATTGTAAAAGGAGATTACGGAGGTGGAGTCAAGTGCAGGGAACTAGGAAGGCAAGACACCACCCATGTGCCAGAGCATTGGGTATGGTGAAAAACCAAACTGGAAATGTAGACTGAGGCAGAACTATGAAGAGTACTGCCTGTCAGGCTACGGGAGCTGAGGCCTTAACACAGAAGCTTCTGGGCAAGGGAGGAACAGAAAGTACAAACCAAAGGGGAAAGGCATCATGAGGCTTGGAGGGGCACAGCCTATTAGAGAGACAGTGAGGTCATACCAGGGGTTTAAGGAGTGAAGATATGAGGGGGAAATCTAGAGGAAGGTCAGAGCCTTGGCCAGGCAGATGTGTGCTGAAGCCTCACTTCCCCTGGGCTCCATTATTACTGTCCTTGGCCTCCCTGCAATTTGTTCTGTCCCCAAAGTCTGGGGTCAGGGGGCCATTCTAAACTGGTCAGATCATGTCAATCTCTTGCTTACAAGGCAATTACAAGGATGTTTTGGCCTGGCCTAAAAGGATCCTCTTTATGAACTGGCTCTTGCCTACCAATCTGAGCTCATTTTCCACCAAGATTTCCTGCCCTTTGCTCTCCAGCCCATTCTAGGGCCTTTGCCCCCACCTTTCTGCTTCCCTGACCCCCCTATTTGGCTCCTTAGTATTTAGGGCTCATCCTAAACGCCATCTTCTCAGGTGGCTCCTCTTTTTTACTCTATCCCCAGAATGACCCTCATCCTTGCTACTTGTTGTCAGATTCTGCCATTTGAAGGCTCTCTGCTTCAACCACCAGGAGACCGGCAGCTTTGTCTGCTGTCAGTCTCACAGTCCAGCATCCACACAGAGTTTGGCACACAGTAGATGGCCACTGAGTATTATTTTAATTTGTCACACTCCAAATGGTATGACCTTGGGCAAACTATCCAGTTCTTTCATACCTGCTCCACAAGACCAAGCTAAAACTTCCATTCCTAGCCTTTTCTCTCTGTATGCAAATAACCCTACAAGCTCCTTTCACATTTTGGGTGAGAGATATTAACCACCTGGCCTTTGTCCTGACACCAGCTGGTTGCTGCAAGGAGAATGACCTGGAAGAACCCCTTGGTGAAACCACAGGTACAGGAAGGAGCCTTGTGGGTAGCTGGAGAGAGCTGGCCAATACCCAGGGGAGGTGGGGCTTCCCAGCTGGGTTCAAAACCGAGCTTCAGGCTTTACCAGTGGTGTGACCTTGGGCAGAGTAGTTAACCCTGGGGCCCCAGTGTCCCTGATCTGTAGAATGGGCCTGGAGCATTAAATGGTATGGCGTTTCTCAGGACCTCAAGTAAAGGTTCACAGGTCACTGTAATAGGATAGGGATAAGAAAAAGGAGACTGATGAGCTTACTACAGGATTTTGGTCTTTCATCTGAACCCCACCTTCCCCAACTCCCACCTTGTCCTTATCTCTTTGGTCACTTCCATGGGCTGGTGTGTCCTCAGTGACCCCTGCTGACCTCACCCATCTGCTGACTCATATTCTCCCCCTAGACCCCCGACTACCCCTGAGGACTCTGTCCAGGTATCCTTGGAAGACACCCAGCCCGGAACCCCTTGCCCACCGACGTAGAGGACGCCCTCCTTGGTCTTCTCCGCGGCTTCTGTGACCCCCTGCTTGGTTTTCTCGGCTGCAGCCACAACGCCCTCCTTGGCCATGGACAGGCCCTTCATGAACACGTCCATCCTGGCGGCCTGGGTAGGGCGAACACACGGGCGGCGGGACGCTGGCTCCGTATCCTCACCCCCGCCCTCTGGAGGGACGCGGTGCCCCCTCCCTCCCGAGACATTGGCGCGCTTAGGAGCCCGGATCCCCCTCTTGCTCACCCCGCTCCCCAGTGGAAGGCCTCAGGCCGCGATGCGGCTGAGTCCTAGCGTCCTTGAAAGCCCAGGACGCGGGAGGAGCCACCGCCTCGCTTATTCGGAGACCTGCAACCCGCGGTCCCTCGGAACCGGAAGCTGGGTTCAGTGCAAAGACCCGGGGCCTGCCCGGACACAGGACAGTCACAAGGTCTGCATACAGACACACATCACCTACACGCTCACGAGCACACACAGGACATGGGCCATTCAAATGTGCACTGACACCTGGACAAACACTGGCGCGGACGTACGTCCACACGGCCACCCATACAGGAAACAGATACACGCACCCCGCAGTGCACCTGCCGGCACCCGGGGGTCTCCGCGCTCAGCGGCTTTCCATCTCAGTGCCCACGTCCGGCCCCAGTGCGGTCTCCATCCCCTTCTCACCTTGCCCCAGGCCTGTCTGGATTCTCCCAGCTCTTTCCCAAACCCCGCGCGCCTCACCTGGGTGCGGGGCCGGGCAGGGGATGGAGCTGCAGCTGCGGCTGCTGCGGCTACGGTGAGTAGGTGAGTAGACGCCGGGGCTGGGCTACGCCGGGCAGGGCTGGGCTCGGGGCCAATGGGGTCCAGCAGTGGTCAGGCGCTCAGCTCCGGGACCCTGAACGGGAGCGCAGCAGTGCCCCGGCCTTCCGTGCGCTGTCCCCGAGGATGCTACTTAGGCGCTCCGGCTCCGCTCCAGCTCCGGCTCCGGCGCTGCGGCAGCTCTGAGCTCAGCGCCCCCCCCTGGTGGCCGCGCCGCCCCCTCGGCCTGACTGACAGGGGGCGGGGAGGGTGACATCTCCGCGGAGCTGGCGAGCCTCCTAGGGAGGGCCTCTGACGTGCGGTGGGGGGACCCTGGAGCTAGAGACAAGCGTAGTCTTTTAGGAGTGGGGGAGGGGGCAATGCGGCGAGCATAAATGATGCAGTTAGCTTTGGAGTTCAGACGGATTCCTAGCTGTTCTTGACTATGGGACCTTGAACTGCTTAGCTCTTCTTTCGAAATGCCAGTTTCTTTTTCTGTAAAACAGGGATTCAGTGCTTATCTAGCGAGCACTTAGGTTCGAGGGTGGAGACTGTGGAAAAGAACAGGTCCCTGCTTTTGGGGAGATGCCGTGTGTAGCGCTCATCATGCTCATGCGGAGATGAAAGGTAGGAGAAAAAAATGTATCCATACTTAAGCCAAACAAGGTTATTTCAGCTTGTGAGAGTGTTAAGAACATAATGAAATGCTGAAGTAACAGAGACCAGAGGAGTGCTTGAGACAGGGTCAGTGATCAGCAAAGGCCTCTGCAAAGAACCCGAGTTGTAGGAGAATTCCCCAGAGAAGGGGGAAGGCCAAGACCGGTGAGGGTGTGTGTGTGTGTCTGTCTGTCTGTCTGTCTGTCTGTCTGTCTATAAGTGCAGAGGCCGAGGCCCGACCACACTAAGGAGCTGTCACAAGTCTAGGCATAAGCCTAGACTGCTGGGGTGGAGAGAAGCCAGGGACAAGACCACTTTTGAATATGGTTATTGGTGGAGATTCCAGATGCAGGGTAAGACTTCATTCAGTGCTATGATAGAATTCTGCCCAGGAAGATGTGGACTCCCAGAGGAAAGGGATCCCGCCAGCTTAAGGAGTCAGGGAAGGAAGTAAAACAAGGTGGTACTTAAGCTGAAGCTTTCAAGATGGTTATAATTTCACCCATCAACAAGAGGAAGAGAGCTTGAATCTGTTGCTACAGCATAGGCAAAGGTACTGGGGACAGAAACACAGGGTGTGTATGTGACAGTTGACGGATGAGGTGAGGGTGTGCCAGTAGCAGACATCAGGGCACCAACAAAAATGTTCATTGGCTGCTGGTAGGACTGCAAATTGGCAGAGGCTTTTTGGAAGGCACTTTGGCAGGATTTACCAAGAGTATAAATGCACACTCTTTTTGGACCAGCAGTTCCCCTTCCAGGAACTCATCTTGTGGATCCCTACTCTCATGTGTGCACATGGACATGTGTGCAGGGATGTGCATGATAGAACACAGCTGACAAATCTAAATGCCCCCTTAGAGGTCTGGCCTACTTCAGTAGGACATATTCACCCAGTGACACACTGGTATGGTTAGAAGCCATGAGCCAGACCCCTGTGTACCAACACAAAATGAGACAAGATATTATATTAATAAGAGAATCAGTGGGCTAAGGTGTTAGTATTGAACAAGCTAATTTTGATATATAGAAAATTATGCCAGGCTTGGTGGCCACACCTTCAATCCCAGCAGTTAGGAGGCAGAGGCAGGAAGATCTCTGTGAGATCGAGGCTAGCCTGATCTGTAGCTGTGACTACAGGGAGACCCTGTCTAAAAAAAAAAAACAAGAAGAAGAAAGAAAGAAAATCATATTACATATTTACATATTTAGCAAGTTATATATAAGAACATTTTTTTTGGTCTTTTTGAGACAGGGTCTCTCTATAGCCCCAGCTGGCCTGAAACTCTCTCTGTAGACCAGGCTGGCCTTGAACTCGCAGAGCTCTGCCTGCCCCTGCCTTCTGAGTGCTGGGACTAGAGGTATGTGCCACCATGCCTGGTACATAAGAAAATATTTCTATATATATCAAATATATATATTCCTTATTAATATATCAGTATATACATACTTATTGTACACTGTATGTATTATATACAGACATGTGCCATACAAATAGAAACATACAGTTAGACCCTCCCTATCAAACAGCTCTGTATCCTTAGATTCAATCAATCACTCAATCAAGAATGTTTGTGAAAACAAATCTCATCTGTGCTGAACACATACAGATGGTTTTGTTTACTTGCCATTACCCCCTAAGCTATAGTTAGCAAACATATACTGTATCAGGTCTTAGAAGTCCTCCAGCATGATTAGAGTCTGCAGAAGGTGGAGGTATAGGCTACATGCCACACCACACCATCACACAGGAGGACCTTGAGCATTTGCTGACTTTGGTGTCTGCAGTAGGTCCTGGAATCAATCCCTGATGATACTAAGGGATGGTAATGCATGTTCATAGCTAGATAGACATAGATCTCTGCCCTGACCACCACAAACTACTAACGGGGTCACCCCTGGGACCTAGGGCACAGTGGGCAGACTCAGGGACAGAGGCTTTCTTCACCTTCTTTCTGCTCTGTGCTCTAGCATGGAAGTCTCTTAGCTTCATGGCATTGCATTGTCCCTTTCTTGTGTTTGGGAACTCACTGCCTTCTGAGGCAGAGCCTACCTCCTCCCCATCTACAAACAGGCACTTGCTTCCCTGTCTTCCTCACCTCCAGGACACATGGCTGGCACATATAGCTGGAGACTAACCAACCAGCCTCCCACTGGGCCCCTGACTGCAGCAGGGAAGAGAAGGATCTGTCCTGTGAGGTGGTGGCAGCTCCTGGTAGTGACCATGGCCATCACTGACCCAACAGAGTAAGCAACTGTCCAAAGAGAGCTCTAGTGTCTGGAGAACCCTCATGGCTTGCTGGGCAATGGGCTCAGCATCACCTCGCTTCATGGTTTCTTTTGGTACACTCTCTGCCTTCCCAGAGACTAAACTGCCCACTGTTTGGTCATAGATGCCTTAGCTGCTTTAGATGAACTGGTCAAGAGTTCTGTGGCTTGAACTCAGAACCTGGAATGCCAGTACAATGAAGGGTGAAGGCAGATTGGCCAAGAGGGAGGAGACTGGGAGAAGGAAGAAGACTAGGATGAAGGGTGTTTCTGCCTCAAAGTATAGGAAACAGTGAGTCATACAGGGCTTTTGTGGTGTGTTTTTGAGACAAGGTCTCTCTATATAGCCCTGGCTATCTAGAACTTGCTATCTAGACTAGGCTATCTAGACTATCTGGAACTTGCTATCTAGACTAGGCTGGTCTTGAACTCATAGAGATCTACCTGCCTCTGCCTCCTCAGTGCTGGGATTAAAGGTGTGCGCTGCCACACCTGGCACAGAGGGAGTTTAAAAACAGCCTGATCTGGGTTTTATAGGGCAAAATGGCAGTAAATTGGAGGAGGATCCAGCTAGAAACAGAAAGGTGAGTGAGGAGGCTGAGGCAGGGGACCCCTGAAGCCTGGACGGGGGAAGCCACATAGGGCAGGGCAGGATAGAGGAAGTTATCTGGGTGTCACTCAGGAGGTGATTTGCTGGGTGTTAAGGAAGAGAGAGCAGGACAGGTGTGGAAAATCCCTAGGATTATGCCACAGAAAAGGGGGTTAGTGTTGATGTACAAATGGCACAGGTAGTGGAGGTCTTGGAGAGATGTGATGGGCTGGTTTGGGGCATAGTGGTTGTGTACTGCAGTTTAGGCACCTGAGTCTGGTGTACAGAAGCACTCACTCCAGGTGACTAAAGGCTAGATTTGGGCTGGATATACCAGGTGAGGTTTCTAAAAGGGCAGGTGTAGCCCACCAGGTTAGAGCCCCAAAGGAGGTAGGCAGCTGGGAAGGTACACCTTCATTTGTAGTGTGTCAAAGTCCATGGTAGAAATATTTCCACTGTGGTTGATTTCAAGCGTCAGTGTGAGGTCACTGAACATAGAATTGCTTCAGTTCCATGGTGCTCTCAAGGTACAGACAGCATGGATATAAAGTTTCCTCAAGGAACAGGTGTGATGGGACTTTGGTGATGATCCCAACACTTAGGCAGAGGCAGAAGACCAGGAGCTCAAGGTCATCCTCATAGCAAGATCAGAAAGTGTTCTAAACTGCTGAGCATTCTCTCCTGCTCCTAATTTAATGTTTTTCCAGATAGAATCATGCTATATTTCCCAGGCTAGCTTTAAACTCTTGGATTCAAGCTATTGTCTTGCCCTAGCCTGGAAAGTAGCTAGGGCTACAGGTGCATGCAACTGTTCCTAACTATATAATTTAGTGTATGTGTGTGTATGTGTGTGTTTATGGTATATGTGTGTAGAGCATATGCACATGGATGTGCACACCCATGCATGGAGGCCAGAGGAGGACGTTGGGTGACCTGTTCTATCACTTCCTCCCTTATTCTCTCTTTAAAAAAATATTATTTTTATTTTATGAGTGTATTGACTACATGTATGTAAGTGCACCAGTGTCATGCAATGACCTTAAAGGTTAGAGATTCCCCTGGAAATGGAGTTACAGATGGTAGTCAGCAGCCACGTGGGTACTGTGAATCCAACCTGGGTCCTCTGCAAGAGCAGCTGGTGCTCTTAACTGATAAGCCACCTCTCCAGTTCCTCCCTTATTCTTTTGATACAGAATCTCTCTCCTTTCTACATCTACCCCATGCCCCGGGCCCTGGGGTTACATATGAGCTTGTGGCCACACCTGTCTTTTTTTTTTTTTTAAACATGGTATGTGGGAATTTGGATTTAGATCCTTATGCTCGTGCACTGTGCTGAATGGCTTAATGTCAACTTGACACACCTGGGTTGA